AACGACGATATGTGTGTATATAGACGTGTATTTATGTGCTTTTTAGCTTCTTTTCTTATCTATTGTATTTCAGTAGTCACCTAATAGTACATAAAATGAGCACTTAAAGCATTACATTCTTCAATAAAAACAAAAATAAATAGGAACAAGTGATAATTAAATTAGCAACAGCATTCGAATCATTGCTAAGGGCCAATTCGCACTGTCCTATCACATCGCAATGACTCGTAATTAAATATGTAGTGTGTGAGAGTTGCCACAACAATTCTTAAGCCCCCGCAGCTAAATAAACAAAAACAAGAAGAGTTGGCGCATATATCTTCTATACTATAATAAAACGGTAGATTAGACTGCATCACTCCCCATACGAAAAAAAATCGTTACTGTGGAATTCCATTGGAATTATAAAATCTATTATATTTTAAGAGGTCCACCAAAATATTTCGGAAAAATATTAAAATTTTTATTGGAGTTTTTTATGAATAAAAATAGTTTTGTATAGCCTATTTCCACTCAAAAGCTTAACTGCAGTTAAGAACTCAGCTAGGTACCAATTATTTTAACATGGGGCGATTGACAATATTTATTTCTTACTTTTTACTTTCGTACTTTCGTTTTCTTGTACTTGATATGACCAATTATCCCGTTCGAGTGATAATGTCAATTTTCCAATGGGCATAAACTGCAGTTAAGACTTGGTGAAAATGCCCTATTTAAGATGTTTTTTGAAAAAAATCAAAATGAAATGACATTACGGTTTAAGTTTAAAAAATTTTCATACAAATATTTAAAAAAAAAAATAACATTTTCAACGGAATCGTAATAATGAAATTTTTTATGCTGTTTTTTTAACTTTTTTCAAAGATTGATTTACGAAAAACTTGAATAACTGAGCCAAAACTATTCTGCTTTAGGCTTTATTCTGGAACATCAGGATTACAGAAGAAGATTACGCACTCTCCACAAAACTTGCAATACTTGCAGATATCGCACAGGTAGAAATAATAGCTCATAGCATCGAAAGAGATTAGTACTTAACTCAAATGTTATCTCAGCGCTATTATTCTTGGCCTATGAGTAGGCGAGGTTCTGCTCTTTCAACCTAAACTAATAATTTTTGACATTACATGACATTACGTTTTTGCTTAGCAACACTATTTATATTGGTCAACGCAAAATTCCTTATAAGACGCTGCGCAGCAAATATGAATGAAGATGACAGCATAGCAAGAATTTTCTTATCCAAACTATTTAGTTTCCCGAGGCCAGAGTTTATTATCCTTACAATTCATTTCAACGACAAAGAAAAGGTGTTATACATATTTGTGCGCGTAGCTCAAGGTAACTACATAATTACATACATAAATAGATAAAATTTACCTTCAGCAGACTGTTTGACATCAGTCCTTAAGTGTATGTAACAAAAGTGTGTGTGCCTTTCGCTGTGTATAGAAAAATTAATGGAAATGGCGTGTTAACTTCAGCAGCTAAAATTCCCAGCTCAGAGACTATTTTTCCTTTCCTTTAAGTGTCTTGAATAAACCTAATCTTTAATTTTTAGCAATGTTATTCAGCTTTGTACCACGATTTGGTTGTTAAAAAAAAAAAAAAAAAAAAATAAAACAAACAACAAAGTGTTAAGCGGTAGAAGTTCTAGCTGCTTTTTCGGATATCACCACATCCCCTCATCAGACTTCAGCAGGAATTGAACTCGTATAATCGTACGCCAGGTACGAGTACCTCAATGTTCGATATGGTGTATGAGTAACATTATTTCCTGCTGCTATTTCATACAAAAATTACTACATATTTTCATTTTTTGTTATTTTTTTGTCTGTTTTTATCCGTCCAAAAACAGGCTTTAATACAAATAAAAAAAAAAATACAAACAAATTTTTGTTTTTTTTCCTGTTAAATTAGTTTTTTTCTTTTTTCATAATTATTAAAATCTCTTGGATGCTATGTACTTCAATATTTTGTATGTCCCTAAAATATCGCAACAGCAAATACTGAGGCGGCCGCTGTGGTGTAGTGGTTAGAAGTGGAGTCCAGTTTCCGACATCTAAAACAAAAAAGCAAAAAAAGTTTGGTTCTAATAGCGGCTTACCTCCAACACTAACATATTGTGGAAGTGCCAATCTATTACACTGTAGGAAAATTATCGAGTTTTGAAATGACACAAAAAAAAATGCCGATCCACGTAGACTTAAATTTGGGTCATGGATTATGGATCTGCATACCGTTTTTCCAGATCATAAAAAAATTCAATACTTTAACAAGGATAAACCTAAAAAAATAACACATTATTTGTAATTTTTCCATTGGTATTGAAACCTGTTGCTTTGTCAAAATCAAGCTGCCAACGATGAAAATCGATGGATAAATAAACAACTCTTAAATGGTCAAATGAAAATGTTCAACAATTTTTGGTATAAAATAGAAGCAGGAAATAATGTTACTCATACGCCATGTCGTACATTTCCGTACTCGATCGTACTCTTTGATCTTTATTTTATCACAGGATATGTTATAAACTTTTCTTAATTGGAGGTTTATCTTCCACATGATACCAAAAATTGTGCATACCAAGCCACTAGATTTTGGCATTTTTGGCCAGGTTCGTTTTGGTATCTCTGGGGTTGCACGAAATCCCAGAGCTTGTTTAGCCATTGTGACTTTTTTGGTGTGATTAGTGTTTTAACTGCAGCCATCGCAACCGGAGGCTTGCCTTTATGTGCCGAGTTACGTATACTTCTTGACTGCAATGCTATATAGGGTACAGCCATTGAAGTGGCTCCACCTAGGTTGAAGTACATATGTAGGTCCACTTGAGGAAAAAGGCCCAGTTGAACAATTTTTTAGTTCGTGCCGATAAATGTTGTTTGTTAGCAACGTCACTATCACATCCGGGTGCCATATTCATCAGCTTTTAAATCGGCATGCATAGTAAAGACGTTAAACCAAACTCTGTGCCTACTTTGGTCTGTTGGTTTAAACAATATGGGAATACATACATACGTGCATATGTATAAACAAAGGTATTGTAAGGAAAACAATAAAAGTTTACACACAGCAAACTGTATTTATTGCTGAGCTCAGTAGAAGCAGTGCAGTAAATTCCATTCTGCCTCCATTCAATATGCTTCATAACGCTGGATGCGCTCATAACGCTGCGGTCTATTATTAATTTTACAATTGCATTTTATGGCGCTCTTCAGATTGCAATAAGCGAAATTGAAATTATAATTTGAAAAAGAACAGAGAGCGCGTAGTACGAATGAAGCGAATGGTGAAACAACTGAATGGCGTAGAAATTGAAGAATTATTGCAAAAAAGCAAACAAAATACATAAATTAAGGTAGAAATCCCAATAAAAAAAATTATAGGAATTTTCACATTAAATATAGTTTACGGCTATTGCCGTTGTAGCTGCAGTTATTCCTCCAGGAAATTGTTATTCTGTGTATGGCTCACAAGGATTTTCATGCCGGTATGAGAATTAAGTATAAGAGTAAAGAAAATGTTTAATGTTCCTCCGCTTCGATTGCAGTCTTATCCGCCCTAGGCGCTATGCTATCAGCCCGCCCTTTCTCAGCTCCAATTAGTTGGGTACTACATCCTACCTTTTTTCGCGGGAGTACACACACACATGCGAAAAACGATGTCCGCGTTTGGGTAAATGGACCCAACAAACTGATAGCACTCCTCCGGTCCTCATTCTGTATTCATTTTACTGGCTTTATGGCTTTTAAGGGTTAATTGTCGCTCTATTGAGATTTTACTTTGGGTCGTGCGTGTCATATTATAATCGGTGTATTTTTTTGCCATATTTGCCGCCCCTAATATTTGGTCGCATGTCTCTTTGCAACTGATCCCATAGTCATTCGAACTAATCGCATTTTTTGCAGGGTTGATATCTATACGAAAAACGATGTGCGCTTACACTGACGAAGCTAAACAAAACATATACATATGTATGTATAAGGGTTGTTGCGAATATTCGCATTCGCTTTCGCAACCGCGGAGCTTCCGCATTAATTTTAACATTCGCATTCGCCTTCGCAATCGCAAAAATCGATGCGGATCCTTTGCGAATGCGAATATTGAAGGGACTGAAAATTGCAGTTATTTTTTTTTACGAGTTAAACTTGGCCAAATATTTTTTATTCCGAAATAAACGTCCTAACCGGATAATAAACAAACGGCTTATCGAAATTAAACAAGTTTGGTATCAATGAAAGAGGACTGAAATAGCTTTAACACTGAAATGTCGAAACGAGGAAAGCCGCACATTGAAAAATATTTCAATAAAAAATGTTAATTAATTACCATAGAACAAACATTGGGTCAGGTATGTATTTAAATGAATTTCGCATCCGCGGATGTCTAAAATTTCACATTCGCAACATCCCTGGTATGTATGTATTTACCACAAAACCGGTTGAGCATTGGCCTGTCGCCAACCAAACTTTTTCCAGTGACATGACCACCAATTTTCCACCATCGTTTCCATTAAGTTAAATTGATTGTACCGAAATGTGTTTTATACAATTTATTATAAATTCCATTCGATTACAATTACTATACTATTTTTTTTTTTGTACATAAAAATGCACAAATATATGTTTATCTTAGGCGTGGATCGTAGTTACATAGTTGCTTCGTCGTGCGCTAATGTACTCATGCTACACAATCAAATCAATTATTAGTATTTTAATTAAGCTAATTCTAATGCTCCTTTTTTTCAATTTACTTACATACATATTTTATGATTCATTTTATAACCGCTGAATTTCTAATTCCTAGCCTTAACAATATATCACCTACAAATTATTCATTTTTACAGCCTACAATTAGTATTAGTTCCACGAATAAACACAAGATTTCTAAATTTTAATTTATATATAAAATTGCTTATTGCACATTTTAGTTTGGCAAACCTTAAACTTCACCTATTCTCTTTGAAATATGTATTTAATTTACATACGTATCTGTATATGTATATATATATAGAATTCCACCTGCTAACTTTGTTACATACATATGTACATATGTAGCTGAAATATGTAGATGAGTGAGAAGGAATGAAATGTGTGCATGAACAAACATATAAATACACACATGTTGAAGCGATATATATGTATGTATATGTATGTAACCAAGTTAGCAGGTGGAATTCTGTTGCCTTATTCACCACAGTTATTTATGTTCGGTCACCGGTAATAGTAGGCTCGCGATAACGAATGGGATATGTGAGCGCGTTTCCTTTGTCCCACGAGTACAATTCCTGCAAATAAAGAAAAGCGGAAGAGCACAAAATTGAAATAGAGACCGAATTTAGAAGTAAGTTTTGATATATGTATGTAAAATGTGTTTGTATGTATGTTGGTAGCTTTGCGGACTAATGGCGTAAATGTTTTTTTTTTTTGCAAATTAGTAAATTTAGTGATAGAATGATACGTGTACCGAGTACCGAATATCAATACTTTTCATGAGTACTGAGTAGTATCGAGAACTCGATACTTTTTGATAAGTACCGAGTAAAGATAGCGAATACTAAAAAGTATCGACGAGCTAAAAACTAAGTAAAAACTTTTTTAAGCATTAAACAATTATATTGAAAATTAAAAAAAAAAAAAATTGCCAATAAATATTGGATTCGAAAATTATCTTCTATGTATGTCTAATATGAATGTCATATAAATGAATATAGCGCTCCTTTACTTCAATACTGTAATAACTCAAAAAACCCAAAACTCGAGAAAAACGGATTTAAAATTGTGAATTTAGTACAAATAGTGCCATAATAAAAATTAATATACATATATTTTGTTCTAGTGAGCTAGTGAGAGGGCCGTAGCCGGGCTTTTTTTTCGGGGCGGTTCTAACAAAATATTTTTTTATTTTCACTTTTATTTCAATATAGTTTGATGAAAAATAAAATATTTCAAACAAACAGGGTTGAAATTGCAATGGCCTAATATGAAAAAAGTAAAAACCGGTGCATTAAACATTTATGCAATTAAAAAATAATAATCAACAAATTTTCGAACGAGTTTCGAGTTTTTTAATTAGATTCTGAGTAAGCAGTTTTGTATAGCCCATTGAATTCTAGTAGAATAAAGTACAAGTATCAAATGGCTAAAATGGTTGATTTTTTTTTAATTTTTAAAAAAGCTCAAAAATTGTACGAAATTTTGTTGAATTTTTTATATTGCACAAAGTTGGAAACTTGGATTTACACGGGTTTTATTAAAGAATGAACTACATTTTTATAAACAAAAATAACCAAAATGAAATGACAACAAAAGTAATACGTTAAAACTTTGCAAAATTTGTTTCGGCTATAATTTGTTGACCACTGTATGTATTTTTTTATATATTTAATTGGACACGCACATTGTATATAAAGGAAGTACATAACAAAATTAAAAACTGATGAGGGTGAGAACACCAACCCTCAAGCTTTAAAACTCCATACTTAACTTTTTTTATTATTCTGATGAAAAACTTGAAGTTTTACGAAAGTTTTGTTGAATTTTGTTTATATATTGCACAAGGTTTGAAAATAGAGTCTATATCGTTTTAAGTAGAGCTCTAGATACCCGGGTTCATTGCTCAACTGCTCAAATGTTTGTTCAAAATTTTCGAGTTTTTGAACAATTTCATAAACAAAAGAAAATTTGTAAATTGTATTTGTCAGCAGCTGCTTTCTAATTCAGGTTAAATACATTATATTATTAAATACCAATGTAACAATCTTTGCATTATATATCAATAATTTGAAAAATTTAAAAAGTTGCTACCAATAATGTCAATATAATAAAAAAAAAACTCGAAATGGTTGAGCTCATTTTCGAGTAATGAGCATTGAACAAGCGTGCGAGTACTCGCTGCTCATATACCCGGGGTGTTTGAAAATGTGCGAACAAAATCACTATTAGAAAAGTAGTTTTGAAAAAATTTACATAAATTAAAAAAAGGTTAAAAAAGTCCACAAAATTTCGACTTGAAATCTGATAAAAATAACATATATTTGAAACTTATTCGTATAAATTCATAAACTTTCTGAGTTAAAGCTGGTCAAAATCAAACCCTGTGAGCATCCCCTATTTTTTTTTTTTAATTTTGACATTTTCGTGGATGTTTTTATTTTGTATGTAGAACAAAAATGAATTTGAATACATACCACGGTAAGCGGATTATATCCCACAGTAGTTGTCTTGCGGAACGGATTCGAGAATGGCAGGTCGACATTTAGCAATTTTCCATTATACAAATCGATAACATAACGTATATGCGAATTTGTCTCCGTACATGAGTCGATCGCATACAAATGGCCGCATACAATGAACATTTCCCCAAATTTGCGATGGTCCAAGGAGATATTGAAATTGTACTGCATCTTCAGTGTATCCGCGTCGAGCTGAAAAAAAAATGTATATCAAAAAGTGGGGTAAATTACATTGTATGGAATAAGGCAGTTTTACACATCGCTGGCTTAAAGTGAAAAGCTGCTAAGACCAATGGTTTCAATTTTACAGCTGAGGAAAACACTTTGAAAACAAAACTTCTCTGTATTCAAAGCAAAAAAAATAACTCGATACGAAAGGGAAGACGTCGACGCTTATGAAGTTTTTCGTATTCCTTAGGAATTTTCGAATCTTCTTAGCAAATTTGAGTTGGAAACGATAATTTTTCGAGTTTTCTTTGCCTCTTTCATAAAAAGTGGACTTAGAAAATACAGATGCCAATACAAATATGAATAAAAATTCTTCTCCTTCCCAATCGTTTATTCCATTTACGAAGTGGCACCAGTTATTCATGCCAGGTACTGGCAGGGGCTTCTGTTCGTGGAGTGGGCGCTTTTGCTTTCGTTTTCCACTCATTAATGTCCAGTCGAAGGATCTTTCCAACAGGGTGTCAGCAAACATGCGTACGGTAAGCCCAGGCCAGCGCAATTGTTGTATTTCTATGCGCTTAACTATGGCCACGTGGAACAGTTTGTCATTCCCTCTTCTACGGCATCCGTCTCTGATGAGATCAAGGCCATAGATCTTACGTAGAATAGTTCATTCAAAAGTCTACAAAGCCTTCTTGTCTTTATTCGGCATTAAAGAGGGTTGAACTTATGGCGTTTTCTTTTCTACAAAAAATTTTGCCTTTTCATTGCCCTCTTCTTTTTATTTGTGTGCAGGGTGTAATGAGAAGGCAACATTTTTCGGTAGAAAAGAAAACATCATTCGGGATTTCTACTAAGCAGCGACAAATGGCTCTGCCTTCTAATGGCATACTGAGCCCAAAGTGTCACTTGTTGGCAAAAGTTATACTTCGCTTGGTCTCCAACCAAACATTGTTGCTGGCGTTTATGCTGGATCCTATATAGACAAAGTCCCTCCCGACTTCAAAGCTATAAATGCCTGCACTGACTTGTGTTCCGATAGTCGAACGACAAACAGTTGCCACTTTCAAAACCTGGTTTGGTCTGGAAGATATTTCCAAATTTTTACAGAACTTAAAGTTGGACTCTCCGTTCTTCTCCTCATTAGTTATGGTAGGATTCAAAATTAAGGTATGGCTTATACCGCTGAGATTCCAGTCTTCTAACATGTATTCATCAGACCAAATTCTGCCTAAAAACTAGAACATGTGCCCTAGTAGCCTTACGCTGCTGGATGTGTGCATCTCAGCCGGTATTTGTCTTAACTTAATGGGGCAACCCGAGCTTCGTTCCTACACATAAATTTTTCTAGGTTCCTCTTCAACAAACCTGCCACCGGTGACTTCATTCAAATGCATAGAAAAGTGTTCCTCCATAAATCAACACAGAAATAAGCCAAGGGTTTGAGACCGTTCCATTGATGCGTCATTTTATTTAGTTCTATGATCTAATCTGTCACAGTCGTTTAGGTTTTCCACGACAGCATTGAAAATTGGACTAAACATTATCGTTATGAAATTCGCGGGACTATTGAGTGCACTTTTCACTTCCTTCTGAATTCTTTGTAGCGCTAAATGCTGCGGTGCACTGCATTCTGCACTCTTCCTCTGCGGCACACAAATATATTGGTGCTGACGTGAGAAGCCAATTTACTTTATCCACACATTTATTCATTGCTTATTTTCTTTTGCCGCAAATAGTTAATATGATGAAACAGAGAGAAAAACTAGAAGCTAAGCGAAGATAAGACATTAAGCATTAAGGAAAATGGCTGCTCGTGTAAAGGTACCGCAATGAAATAATGGTCCGTCATAAGCAACAGATGCAAGTATTTATGTACATACATTAGGGTGCCCCACAAAAAAATTCTGTTTTTCCACCCGAATTATAGTTAATCAAATAAAATTTCGGGAAAATATTAAGATTTACGCAAGCTGCATCGATTTGAAAATACTTCTCAAAATTTTATTATTTTGTTTCCGTTCCGTTCCCGTAAACATTTTTTTACATTTTCTTTATTTTTTTTTTTTTGGAAAAAATATTTTTTATTACTAATTTAAAGATATTTTAAAATCAGTCTAGCTCTAGTAAATGCTAATATTTTTCTGAAATCTCTTCGGCGAAATTCTCAAAATATAGCAAAATTTATAATTCCGATGGAAAACAGTACTGATTTTTTTGTAAGGCGAGTGATGCATCCTAATGTGCATGCAAGTATATGCTTATAATTCTTGCGTACAAAAGTATACATACATATAGAATCGCAAGCACAAGAAGATATAGAATGACTACTGAAGTACATATATACGAACGGTTTACTTTTAATGAAAGAACAACATTTATATAGGCTGCGCGCACAGAAATAAATCGCCTTTGGCATGAAATTTTTCACTTTGTATGGATGTAATGGCAAGCTGCATCACGTAAGAAAAAATTTTGCTCTTTGAATACTAAAAGAAAAAAAACCAAACCAACACAAAGCGGATGATGATGTGATGACCACCACACAATGCCAAATCTGACACCCTCGAGCTTTGAAACAAGAAAAAAACAAATCTTCTCTATGTTTGTATAATTCCATATATGTAGCTATTTTGACTAAGTATGCCAAGAACAAGAGTGCCATTGAAGTTGATGCAAAATTTTGAAAGTAAGAGTTGGAACTAACCCAGCTTGCAGTAAATTCCTGACTAATAAGGTGTCCTTTTCTAAATTATAAACAGACAAATTGTGCAACTTTTCAAATAACCGAAAATTTGAAAGAAATATTTACATACACATATTTTAGAGGACACCAAAAAAAAAAAATCTCAAAAATCAACGCGATTTTTTAGCCATTTGAAACTTGCACTTCATTAAACTATAATTGTATGGGCTATAAAACTGCATACCCAAAAATTTTCTAAAAATTCAGAATAAAGAGTTGAAATTTTGATGAAAATTTATTGCGTTTTCCTAAATTTTGTATAAAGTTTGAAACTGTAATTTACACGGGTTTGTTTAAAGCGAAGACGATATTTTTATATAAAAATAACAAAAAAAAAAATTTAGCTCGAAAAACATTACGAATATTTGAAGAAAATCAACACGTGGTCATTTGTTTGAGTCACTGTGTATACACCTTTTCACTAAATGTCTGCACTCACCTTGGCAACCAGTGTATTGTTGGAGTCATAAGTACTGTAGATCACCCACAGACCCACCTCATCCACATTTAAGTCCATGTAATTGTGGTCGGTAGAGTATAATCGATTGCCAACAGCGGTGCCAGCATACGGCAATGGGGTAGCTGCAATGATAACATGGAAAAATAGTTAACAGTATTTAGCAGCTGATACATTTCTATGTTTGTATGAATGCACAAACAAACATACACATGTGCATTTGCATGCATGTCCGATGCCGCATTAACAGAATGTAGTAAAAATTAAATGTAAAGCAACTTTAATTGAAGACAGCAACACAGTTCAACAAAATTTCCAAACAAAATAATAATAAATCAAATATCGGCAAAATCCGTGTTTTTACCACTTTGAGGTTAGGATATAGGATTGAAAAAAGGTATAATTTGCCGAACTGTGTAATTAAAAATTATTTAAATGTACTCGTGTAAACTCTAATTCTCTGCTCTGTGCCGCTCTCGGACAAAGTGGCATCAACGCATAAAATTTCAGCGACCTTTTTATGATAGCCCAGTTGTGAGTTTCAAACAGAAACGCATATGTATGTACATCTCTTAATATATGCAAATAATGTACTTACATATTTTCTTCATTGTTACCAAATCCAATTTTACGACCAAATCGCTATTGTATTGATTATAGTAAAATGATCCATTATAGACGACATGTGCGTTTCCCTGAAAATGTAGAGGATTTTTTTATAATCAATGCAAAGAAGAGACTTCTATATACAGTATTGGCCATATCTATAGCACCGCCATTTCAAAGAATTTTAAATTTAAATACAGTTCATTCTCTAACAAAATTCATATAAGTTTTAAACTTTGCAAACGACTACAAGAAATTTAACAAATTTTCACCTAAATTTTAAACTTTTTTCTCCGAAGTGTTAGAATTTTTTTGAGTACGCAGTTTTATAGTCCATTCAATTTTAGTCTGATAATGTGCAAGTTTCAAGTGGTTAAAAATTACCATTGATTTTTTTAGAATTTTCGTACTTTCGTAATCTAATCCGCTTGTACGTTTTTTTTTTTTATTCAAAAGCTGGGGATACAGTCTTGGTGGTGCAGTTTATACATTTGCGGGTCACGGCTTCATTTATGCGTATGCCTTTTAATATGACGCTTTGATTTTTTTTTAAGTAAGATTTATTTTAAATAACCCAAAATGTATGCCCAGTTTTTAATAGAAAACGTTACTACACATAGTAAATAAGTATGTAAGTATGTAAGAGAAAATTCACCTGAAACCCTTCCGGAATATTGTATTTGCGACGCGGTGAGAAATTCATGCGATATTTCATTTTCGTTGGATACTCGTACAAATTGTGCGTATCACTCTCTTCCGTCACATAGGTTTTTTCATGATCAATGTCCGAAGAAGCAGCTGGATCTCTCAGCCAACTGCCGTAAATATCATTTACTGACTTATGGAACACTGGTTTACCTACCGCATATAGCAGCCAGCCTAGAAACATAGTGGAGAAAATGTGTTGGACAATCAATATTTATTTCTTGTTATTTGAGTTTAAAAAATATAGAATTTTTAATTAAAAAAATAATTGCTAATAATAGTGGATAAAAAATTAATTTATCGACTTTTTTTAATTGCAACAAAATTTCTGGGGTCATAAACTATACACATATTTATAAGTGGTACACTAGGCGACCAATTAGTGTACACACCTTGTCCTTGCTTGTTCATAATTAATTGACCATCAGGACAGACAAATGTATATCCACTTCTTTTTTTAGTTGTGAAATAAAGAATTTTTTATGAAAAATTAACAGGAAATAATATTAGTCATACGCCATGTACACTCTTTACTGCCCATTTTTCAGCAGTCATTCCTTTTTTGTTTATCCATCGATTTTCTTCGTTAGAAGAGACCAGGCTTTAAAACAAATGAAAACATTTACAAAGATACAGTTGGATTTTTTTTTTTAATTTTTTCATCAAAAGTTTTGACTCAAAACTACAAAATAGTCTGAAATGATTAATTAATTTCTCAGAACTATTAGGTCTATTGAAAAATGATTTATACGGGCAGGTTCTGCAATTCACTTCCGAGTCAATTTCAACCCCTTCCAATTTGAATTCAAAGCGAACTGGTCTCAAATTCACTCGGAAGTTATTTGCAGAACCTGCCAGATAATGATTTTGTGAGCTTTCATTTGTCATAATCCGTATTAAGAACAAGCAAAACGGAGCTTATAAAATTTACCAGAAGGGTGAACGAGATTCGTTGTGGTAGGTGTGTTATGTTGTGCAGCAGCCACTGCAACCCAACCTAAGATTCTCACGACAGTCGGGTTTACGTAAGCGAAACGACCCAGATTGATATACGGAAACCCCTTGGGGAATTTGTATGCTGTTATAACAACAACAATCTAACCTAATCCAGGCTAATTGTGTGCCACATTTTATCCAAATCCCTTAATACGTTTTAGCGTGAGGAAGTAACAAACATACTCAATCTCAACACTCAGTCTCAACAAGTTTCACATTTATTAAATATATTAAATAACTAAGTAGTAGGATTATTTCAAACACAACAACAAATATCCTACCTATAGTAAGTATTTGTACGAGTAATAAATTAAAATTTTTAAATATACTAAACAAATATTTTTACTCACTCTTTTGTCGCTTCGGCAAGCCAGGATAACTATAATTTCCAGTTGGCAAAATTTCGAAATTCGAATTGATGGAGTCCTTGCACTGGTAAAGGCTGAAACAAATAAAATACTAATTNCGAAACCCCTTGGGGAATTCGTATGCTGTTATAACAACAACAATCTAGCCTAATCCAGGCTATTTGTGTGCCACATTTTATCCAAATCCCTTCATACGTTTTAGCGTGAGGAAGTAACAAACGTACTCAATCTCAACACTCAGTCTCAACAATTTTCACATTTATTAAATATATTAAATAACTAAGTAGTAGGATTATTTCAAGCACAACAACAAATATCCTACCTATAGTAAGTATTTGTACGAGTAATAAATTAAAATTTTTAAATAAACTAAACAAATATTTTTACTCACTCTTTTGTCGCTTCGGCAAGCCAGGATAACTATAATTTCCAGTTGGCAGAATTTCGAAATTCGAATTGATGGAGTCCTTGCACTGGTAAAGGCTGAAACAAATAAAATACTAATTGTATTTAATTCTTCGAAATACAAAAATATGTAACTGAAATAAATATTTATTTAAAAACCAGTCTTAATCAAAAAGTACGCACAGGTGTTAATCAGCCGCGTTGCAGCTGGCGGTGAAACCAGTTTTCTTTACACAAAGACAAAGGGCAGATAATACGTAAAAGTCAACAACTACGAAAAACAAAAGGTACCCATAAAACAAAAGGTATGCATAAAACTTGGATTATAGAGCGGAGCGTAGCGTTTGCAAGTAAGTAGCTTTGAGAAATGTAATACAGCAATGAAAAATGAGTCGTTGCAAAAATGAAACTGATTAAAAACTTTATTTGTGGTTAAATAGGCTGAGGTTTTATATAAATATGTATGTGTAATTCTACGTAAGTTTATATAAATACATGGACGTCCATGTGTATAAGCTCTGGCAGTTGTAGTTAGCTTATCCTGCATATCTGTATAAGTTACCATAGACGGCGGCAAAACAAAATGAAAGTTTATAAACAGAAGAGTGAAAATTAATTTAAGTTATCCTTTTGCTCGACCACGTCATTGTAAAGTTGACGCCCAGCCCACGAACAAAAATTAAATCAGACCAACCGGGTACAAGACTTAGTAAAACAAGTTGGATTAAAGTTGTGAATTCGTGTCTTGTTTTTTTTTTGTTTTCTTTCGATAGTATTTTGTGGTAAGCCCAAAGTGGCCATGAACATACTTATTATTGTATATGTATGTGCGATATATTTTTATGTACATACTTAGGAGAAAGTAAAAAAAAATTGATCAGCAATTGAAAAAAAAAAATAATTATTAGACCTTAAGAAGAAATTGGGCAGCAGTAAATATGAAGTCTTAATTAAAAATCGTTATAGCTACTAACTACATATACTTCCGCTATCCTCAACCCTAACGCGTTGGCCAATCAAGATACATATATACATCTACTAAAAAGTACGCTTTTATGGAAAAACGAAAATAATTTATGATGGAAGCAGAAGTATAAGAAAATTCGAAAAGGAGAAAATGGAATCAACCTCCCGCAAGTGATAAGCTCAGCACGAGTTAAATTCACGAACATGCCCTGTTGGACTTGGTATATTGAAATCACAAAATCTTTGTTTCAAATTAGCGCCAGAAGGGATCTGTCTGCCAAAAGTGCAGTATTTTTATTTCAAAGCAATGTCGAATGTCAACCATATTCCGTTTACTTTTCAAAGTTTTGAAGTAGTATTCATTCTCAAGCTAGGCAAAAGAGAACGCTGCCTAAGGGCTTTTGGCCAATCAGTCTCTCGTCTCTTGTGCTCAAGACTTTCAAAAGGCGAGAAAAAAATGTCTACTCAGCAGAATGCTTACCTAAATCAGTGCTCTATAGAATCTTCACTTCACCAGATTGTACAAAAGGTAGAGTCATAGCTGGAACAAAAAAAAACCAAATACGTTGGAACCTTTCTTGGAAAAAGAAGGACAGAGTCACTCCGTAGGCTATAGAGCAGTCACACAGCAAACTAGTGATCGCGGACGTGGTGGTGAAGCCGATCTCAATTGTGCTTCGCACAAGGCTTCTAAACGCTAAGTGAGCTTACCAAGCATTAAAGCTGGCGAGCCCGCAAGACGGTGTACTGACGAGTTCTTGGAACTTGGAAATATTTAGGTTTAGTTAAATAAACCGAAATCGAACTACTACTTTTATTTACTAAAAGGTTACATATTTCTAGTTTCAATCTGCGTTCCTTGAATGTGATTACTCTTTAACTCATATCTCGTGCTAAGTATTTGGAAGTGGTACTAATACCAAAACTAAACTAAATAATGAAGATAGAGCACCGTGTTAAAAAGGCGAATTGTGCTCTGTATTCTTGCAAGAAACGTTTATGTAAGAAGAAATCGCTGCAATCGCTCCGCGAATGAATAACATTTCAGCCTAAAAATATGCAACACGAAAACCGGATAGGTTCGATATAAAGTCATAAGTTTATGTATATGTCATGCTTCCCTGGAGGCATGGAATATTTTAAGGCACAAGCTTTATTCACTTAGAGATTTGTAGCGATAGAAATTTAGTGTGGCGATTTTGGAATCCCACTGCAAGTCATATGTTATGTGTGAATGTATGAGGAGGTAATTCGCTGACTTATTTGCATATCGTGCGCTGGTTTAGTGATACTGGGTCGATCATGTCATGCACAACGGAAGCCTTAAATGTCATCTGTCATATGCTTCCGATTGATATCTATATTAGGTAGAGTGCTTCACAGATTGTCCTGAGGTTGATGGAAGTAACTCTGGGGAAAGAACGTGCGTTCGAGAATGGACTTATCCTGTATATTTTCATCAATCGGATTACGTGTGTGTTACACTTATTTTCAAGGAAAATTTTTAACACAATGTTTCCTCCTGGGAAGAAACGGAAACGGTAAATGGTTTAGAGACTAAGATTTTTTCAACTGACTTCTAAATGAAAACGTCCATGCGACTAACAGATTCCACCAGTGTTTTTTTAGAATGATGTCTTTGTTATTAGAGAGACGTATTAAATAGTTTTAGCCTCAGGCGATTAACATAATAAAACAAGGTATAAATTAGGTTACGACTTTAGCTGAGGAGCTATTCAGAAACGCATCAGTTCCAGACATCTCAGTGGCAGAAGAGATTCCTGTGCTTCTGAGC